TAACAAATAAATGGAATATCTTGATAATCCTCACACTGGAAACTACATCAAGAATGAATAGTGAGGAGTCACTTAAAGAGCTGAAAACTTATCTTTCTAGTTGATCTAGTCTTCTAATGCTTTAGTTGTTCGATGGAGTTTGCTAAAAGTTTTCTCGCTATCTCTAGTCTAAGATCCTAACATAATAGAATGCAACGACATCTCCACTCAGTCTCAACTATGGCAACCTACATTATTGAAGACGCACTACCCCTCTTAGTCTCTTTAAAGTACTAAGGGACTAGGCTATAGTGATTAACTATACCCCATTGCTTATGTTAATCATACTTAAGCTTATCTCAAATACTTAAGAATTAGTGACTAGATTTATCTCGAACATCTAGTCTTCAGCTAAGAAATGGACACTCTTATGCCTTCTACAATCTTAGAAGATGAAGCACACATAAATAAAACAAGTAAAAATAAAAGATAAATAATCATCAACCATTAAAATAAAGTTTCAAGCATCCATCGAATGAACCCCGCCAAATATAACTTAGTTCATTGTGGGGTTCGAACAAACCATGGAGTATAACCAATCGTTCATTCGACTTTACAACCCAAATAAAGCTTTAAGCTTTAAAAATGGAGCAAAGGTTGGAGAAGAAAGCACTAGGAGTGCACAACTGACACTTCATTCAAGCCACCGCGAACAACTATAGGGTGAGCTCCTCTCGGATGCTATGTCACTCCCCCGAGCTTCACCATTGGAGGAACACCAATAAAAATTGAGAAAGAAGAAAAGAAAAGTTGTTGTGCGTTAATGGAGGTAGAGAAAATAGATAAGATGATGATTTTCCAAGTGTGTGTGTCTTTCTCTTGTGAGGTGTCCTTATAAATAAAATATCTAAGGGTATTCTTGGGAAATTTTGCACTCAAAATACCCATCATACCCCTAAATTCATTCCTTATGCGTGAAGTTTATCTCCATAGGTGGCAATGAACCTCATTCAGATGGTTACCAGCAGCAGACACGTATTTTGACAGCTATCTTCTTGTGAAAATATTTATTTGTCTTTTTCTGCGCCAGAAATGCCAACGAATTGCAGTCTACTTCAGCAACATGTGATGTCGCAACATTCTTCTCAACTTGCCCTATGCTCATTGTTTCATGCACATCACTAACCAACCACACCATTCCAATCATATAACACCTTAACAAAGTAAAAATAACACCACCACCACAAATGAAACTACATGAATCTGAAATGACCTATATGAACCCATAGACAAACAATAACTTTAGTGAAAAAATCCTTAAAAGTCACACCCCTAAACTTAAGTTATTACTTGCCCTCAAGCAATGGATAGCAATTAACACAATCAAAATGTCATGGCAATTTTCAACAATAAGAAAACAAGACAAAAATTGAATTTTCAACCCTCAGAAAGAATTGGCTTCACATGCTAGAGATATCAAGAAATCAAGTATTTTTCCCTAGGTCAAGATTCTTTGTGGTTGTGTGTGTGCGTGATTGTATATAATCTATACTTAACGAATCTAGGCAATTTCTAATTGAGTTCCCTTGTTTTTCCATGACATTTACTCATTCATTAAGCACATTTATACTCCATTTTTACTTAATACACATTTTCCTATTTTTTCATGCTGTTATGAGGAGATTCATCCCATCACAACTATTTTCTACACTTGATGTGCCTGTCATTTATTAAAAAATGGTATCCAGGCATTGCCTCAACAATGCAAACATGTAGAGTCATCCCTTGACTACTTTTATTCACTCATATGTGTGTGGTTGCCATATATTAAAGAGAGTTCCAGGTAATGCCACGACAAAGATAATTGTTCCTCTACAGCTATGTCGAAGCATTTATTCATGATTAAATAAAATTCAGACATAAGGGAATTCTTTAAACAATGATTTATCATTTAAGCACAATACCAACTTTTAATGTCAAGGTTAACCAAAGTTCTTTCATAAAAAAATTCCTAAATTCCTTAAGTATAGAGAACATACAAATTATATAAGAATAATTCACAGAGCATCAAGTCCTAGAGTCAATTCTATAATTCTCAATAGTAATTTACATTCAATTTCTAGCCTAAAAATTTCATCATCATCGAGTATCATCAAAGCATTTGATCTAAATGTCCTACCAATTACTAATATCATGGCATAATGTTATACTAATACTATCATGCATATGTTCTACAAAAAACACTACCTCCCCTAAACTTGAGAGAAACATTGTCATCAATGCTTAAAATAACTAAGTAAATAAAGAAACTAAATACAATTTCATGTTATGTAAAAATGAAAACAAAGGGAGGTAGCTCGATTTCTTTGGTGGTGGCGGTGTTGCGGTGGAGGTACTGCCAATTCTATGCCTGGTCTCCTTCGTTAGTGGGGCACTTCCTCAGCCGTGAAGGTCCGACAGAGCTGCGCGTTTGTTTCGGGAATAATGCACTTTTCAATGGCGTTGAGGATCTCGCTAGCAGGTTCGGGGTTAGAGGAGCGAAACAGGTTGGTGAAAAATCAGTGGCAGTGTCGAAGATCCTGTCCTGGTTCTCGGTCCAAATTCCATTAGAAGCAACCAAACCTTTAATCCAGTTTTTCTTCTTGTGCCGTTTGCTCTTGCATAGAAGAACCTAGTGTTCCTGTCCCGGTACTTAAGCCAGTCAACCTCTACAGCTATGTCGAAGCATTTATTCATGATTAAATAAAATTCAGACATAAGGGAATTCTTTAAACAATGATTTATCATTTAAGCACAATACCAACTTTTAATGTCAAGGTTAACCAAAGTTCTTTCATAAAAAAATTCCTAAATTCCTTAAGTATAGAGAACATACAAATTATATAAGAATAATTCACAGAGCATCAAGTCCTAGAGTCAATTCTATAATTCTCAATAGTAATTTACATTCAATTTCTAGCCTAAAAATTTCATCATCATCGAGTATCATCAAAGCATTTGATCTAAATGTCCTACCAATTACTAATATCATGGCATAATGTTATACTAATACTATCATGCATATGTTCTACAAAAAACACTACCTCCCCTAAACTTGAGAGAAACATTGTCATCAATGCTTAAAATAACTAAGTAAATAAAGAAACTAAATACAATTTCATGTTATGTAAAAATGAAAACAAAGGGAGGTAGCTCGATTTCTTTGGTGGTGGCGGTGTTGCGGTGGAGGTACTGCCAATTCTATGCCTGGTCTCCTTCGTTAGTGGGGCACTTCCTCAGCCGTGAAGGTCCGACAGAGCTGCGCGTTTGTTTCGGGAATAATGCACTTTTCAATGGCGTTGAGGATCTCGCTAGCAGGTTCGGGGTTAGAGGAGCGAAACAGGTTGGTGAAAAATTCAGTGGCAGTGTCGAAGATCCTGTCCTGGTTCTCGGTCCAAATTCCATTAGAAGCAACCAAACCTTTAATCCAGTTTTTCTTCTTGTGCCCGTTTGCTCTTGCATAGAAGAACCTAGTGTTCCTGTCCCGGTACTTAAGCCAGTCAACCCTCGACCTCTGTCTCCAGTAGACCTCTTTCTTTTGCATAGATATCACTTTGTTCTTTTTTAAGAGTTAACTATGATCTGTTCCTATACTTCCAACACGTGCAACTTAACCTCTACTTTTACTTTTAACGCCCTCAACGAACTTGCGATATTACGTGGGATTCTTTTATATGCTTACGTGGCAAATTCGAAGCCGCATGAAAACCATGTAAGAAAAATAGGAGTAATAAACTTCCATTCTATTTCTTTACACATGATGCGAACATCTTATATATTGTTTTCTCTAAATTTTGATATAAATCGACAAATGAAACAATGGCAATTGTCCACATGGATAATAAATTGGTAATTTCTCTTCATGGTTTATCGTTTTTTTAATAATTGAGTTTTCATTTTCTAGAGACTTCAAGGGTGAAAACAAATCTGTAGGGAAAAATCTTGTATATTTTGTCATTCTCAGCATCTTCTATCTTTTGTTTTTAGCTTCAGACGTATCCTCTACCAATTTTTTTAAAAATTTATTAATTTACCATATTTATCTGATTTTTTCAATAAAACCCTAATATAAAAAAATCAACTTCGAAATGAAAAAAGAGAGAGTTAAAATTGTCATTATATTTATCATTTTTGTATTATACATATACTACGGGCTATCAAGTTTGTCATTATATTTATTATTCGATATAATTATATTTTTTGTATTGAAATTTTATACCTGTTTATCCAATAGTAATTTTACAAATCAATAAATAAAATTATTTGAAAAAAATGCACTATATTAATATTGAAAATTGACAGAGAGGTACATGGTCCATATTGCAGCATCCATGAAATTCGAAATACAACCATGGAAAGCAACAACAAAGTACAAAGCTTTAAATGAACAAAGACTGCCTCAACCATTGATATATATTATTTTTTATTTAATTATGATGCAAACTAAAATAATTATTTACGTATTGAGTTGGCATTGATTCGAAATTCTTTGTCAAAAGGTCTGGTTGGTTTAATTTTTTTCAAGTTTATTTTTACATAATCTATTTTGACATAGAGTATAATTTTTTTTACATATGTTAGATTATAGCATTTCTTAATACCAAATAAGTATTTTTTATTTTTGGTTTTTACAAGGTAGGCTCTCCGCCGTTAACTATCCCATGTCCTTTCTTCTTGTAACAAATATTCTACTGCTCGTGGCGGATTGGCAATTATAAATCATTTTAAAATATCAAATAAGTATTTTAGAATGAGTTATACGAATTAAGTAATTTTAGTGGTTAAGAAATTATTATTATCTTTTGAGATATTGGGTTCGAGCATTATGTGTGTAGGGATGTGAGCATTTCATGTCAAATAATTAAAATTTTTTAAATAGATGTTATATTGTCTTTACCACGGATTAATAAAAAAAATGTTCTATTTATATATATTATAGATGTAGTCCTATTTATAATTTGAAAAAAAAGGTGTGGTATATATATGGGAGGGATTAGGGCATAATCATCATTGAAGTAAATTATTACATAGTGTGGCATTGCCAACTATCCATACATTTATTACAATAACACAGAAGCATATGCATGCAGCAAACGAAGGACACGATAAATTAAAAGGAGGGATTACATTATTCCAGCAATGGATTACATTATTCCAGCAATGGATTCCATTAAAGGAATTTAACCACATCAAGCTCACTCTTACAAATTCCCGAGAAAGGGCGTTTACAGTCTTCGATCCCTTCCGGCGTCAGATTTCCCTTTTTGTAACATAAATGAAGCTCCCCCACGATCGTTGTGTTTGTGCCTATCTGCTTGCGACAAACAATCTCAGGTGTCGCTTTTGCTACATTTTTTACCCTCTGTAAAAGCACTTTCACCTTGTAACTGCCACCGGATGGAGGTTGATAAACTGGGTTCAATAATTCACATAAAATGTTAATTATACAATGATGCATGGTTTAAAATCTCAATTAAGGCGTGAAAGTAGAGTTACCTTTAACAAATTGATCCCTGAGGTTAATTGCAGTTTTAAAGTACTGAATAGGATTATCACCGAAATCAGTACACATCCCATTCTGTTCCCATTGATGTTCCCAAAATTGCTGGTTTTTGGGAGGATATTTACTGTTCTTTAGATTTGGCCATGCTTCTGTTAACTCCTCCACCAAGTCCGCCTTTTGCAGTAGACCCTGTTTCATTTCAAACCACAACCAAAATCAATCAAACGAATTAACCAATATATATATCTATATATCTAAGGAATGTTGAATACCATGATTCTATCTGTGGGTACGGGTTTCAAACTGGTGCAGCTTGGGTCCTTGGAGTATGGAGGGACTCCATAGTTATAGCTGTTTTGTGGCCATAAACCAAAGATGGTGAAAGTTTTGGGGATATCTCCCTTGCATTTGTAACTCACGGAACAAGCACCGGGTGGCCATTGGAGAGCCAATTTGTAGGATACCAATGTAGTGGCGTCGGACACACCCACATGTCCCTGCTGCTGGAGCTCGACATTCGTAGCGGTCGCCGGTGCTTCGGCTGCATGGCAGCTCATCTGGACTGACAGGCAAGCCACCAAAGCGACCGCCAGTACTATGTTATTGCAATGCTTCTTCATCTTTCCTAAATTCATTACCACCGAATCTATGATAATGTTTCTAAAATGGTTGCTTGCTCCTTCACTCCCTGGTATGTGCCTATTTATAAAGTTTTCAAGCACAAGGGCTAATGCCTAATTTTGATTTTTGACACCCTATATTATAGTAAAACTCTCATATTGGTCCTCTTACTATTTTTTCTATCATTTTAAGCATCTTTATTTTGATTTCATTCACACTTTAGCCCTTCCTTGTTAACATTTTCTTTAATAGTATAGGGTAATTACAATATTGTATATATTCATAATTTTTCTTAATCTATTGACACAAATACGCATCCTACAGAGTATAAACGTAACTTTTTTTTAATATGATTCTTCTAAGGAGAACGACATCCTAATGTAATTAATATATGAATTAGCGATAAAATAAACTGTCAATTAAATCTGATTAATGTGAGCCTAAATATGCATTAATAATGAAATAAATTTTTTTTAAAATTTATTAGGAAAAAAATATAATGACTGTTTCCATATACCTTTTCTTCCTTTAATTCTGGAACAACGACATCTTTTATTAAATAACTGGAAATCTGAAATATTTGTGACCTAAAAATAATTTTATTAATAAAGTATATAAAGAGGAAAACAAAATTAATAATTGATTATAGGTAGAGTAAGAAAAGTTTGTCTCTATATCTATTGATATTGTCTTTGAATATTAAATAATAATTTTATTTAAACACTATTAAAATAATATATACCTTTAATGAAATAATTTTGACAATTTCTTAAATGAATTAACAGAGTAACTAAGACACATAAATTTTGATTTTTTTTAAAATGGAAAATCGTCCATTATGTTTTTGTCGGGGAAATGAAAAGATTGCATATTTTGAACCATGTCGTTTATTGATGTGCCTATTTCCTACACGTGAAGCGTACATACCCTATATTGTTTTCTCTAAATTATTATATAAGTTGACAAACCAAATAACGACAGTTATTCCAATGAATAATAAATTGTTCATTTATCTTCATGATTTATCGTTTTTAAGTGGTGTGGAAAAATGTACATTGTATTTGATTGACAAACCGTCGTACAAATTTAAACGTATATAATAATTGAAATCTCGGTAATGGTACAGGATATCTTTTTTATTAATATATAACGAATATAAAATAATATTTATTTAAAAAATTTAATCATTTTATATTGAAATTTTAAGTTAAATATTCTTTTAAAATAATATAGATTTTCTGTTCATAATATATATATGTTTTAGTTAATTGCTATTCTGAGTATCTTATATCTTTTTTTCTCCTTAACATTGTTCTCTCTCTCTCTTTTTCGTCGCTCTCTCTTGGATTTTTTTTAATTATTGATTTGGAAAGCACCATATCAACTTTATTGCTTGTCGTTGATCATATATATTATTTTATTTTATTTCTTAATTTTCTATATCACATCTATATTTTTTTTATTTCTAATAATATGGCCTTTTGTTTGAAAGTAAAGTTGAAGAAAGATAAAAAAAAATGTCTGAATAATTGGGATTACGGACTAATGAGCATGTTCAGAGTACGATCACGTAATTTGAACCGAAGGAGGGGTGAACTAAGATAAATGTTGATGGGTAAGAAGTACGAGGAAGAGATTAATTTCGGTTGGAGTGTTGTTTGCGATTGTAATAATAACCGACTATCTGGTTATAATCGCATGATTGATTATTGTTCAATCTTTCAAGTAAAATAGTAGAGTGTAGTTTATTTTCCTCATTTCATAAAAAAAAGCCTGTTAATAATATGCCTAAATAAAAAAATGTAATTCTAAAATTATTAAAAATAAAGACAGCAATTGTGTTTTCGACCCATCATTTTCTTTCCTCCATTCAAGTACACGTCTTATCTAAAACCAAAAGAAAAATCTGGAAATATGATATCTTTTATTAGAAAATAGCATTTTTTCCTTGTAAGCATATTCGCTTGGTGTAGTTTTAATGATTGTGACGCTTATGGCCCTACGTACAAGACGTGTCTCGTACACATTTATGTCTATAAAGTTTTTAATTAAATTAATATAATATTAATTTAGTCAAAAATAATAAAAAAATATTACAGTTTTTTTAATACTTTATATAATCTTTAAATAAAATAATTAAAATGCTATTTAAAAATCAAACTCAAAATTAATATACTCATAATACAAATATAATCAAATATATTTTTGAAAAAAACTAAAATAAATTGACAAATCAATCAAAAGGAGACAATACATCTGGCAATTTTCTTAATGATTTATTGTTGGTTTGTGAGTCACGTAAAAAAACGTGCATTTTATCACAATGATAAACGTATGGTGCATATTCACTCTCAAAATTACAGGACAATAGTATACAGAAATACTCTTGAGCAGTTGGCATTTTGTAAGTATATAACCTTTGATTTTCATTTTAGACTCATATTTAATAATATTTAGCGTTGAATAATATTTTAATTTCTAGAGTTATATTTTTATTATTATTCTAGTATTTATTTATTTTTAATTTAAATTGATCTTTAATTTTTTATGCAGCATATTATCTCATTATGTTCTTTTGTTATAAAAAATCATGTGGCATTCTAAAAATGTGTTACTTATAGCATCACATAACACATTATATATTAAATTCGAAAACTTTATAAAAGTATTTTACAAAACTTCAAATTATTTTAATTTTTTTTGAAATATTTATAATTAGAAGTGAGTAAAATTCTACTTAATTCAGAAAATCGATTTTCTTTATTCAACTCGACTAAAAAACTCGACTCAAATTATTTTCGAGTTGTAATTTCATAAATTCAACTCGACTAAAAAAATTTCAAATTCAAATCGAGTAATAAAATACTACTTGTCGACATGCATTTTCGTCCGACTTTATATTTTATATACATGTTATTATATTATATCATTATATATTATTATTCATTTGCTATTTTATTTTTCAGGTTCAATACTACAAATGAGTTTAAACTCCAAGGCCCTGTACACAATGGCCCAACAGAAACCCTAGTCTTCTACATCTTCAGCGTTGCAGCCAATATGCAAGGGGGAACTGCCAGCCGAGTTCCACGGTCAAACCCGAAGACTCCTCTCGCCTCACGTCTCCATCCACGTCACCGGAATCCTCGCCACAAGCAAAGCAAGAGTTTTAGTCCTAACGGGAGTCTAAAACCGAATTAGCACTATAAATACACATAGAATGGAAGGAAAAAAAGGGGGGATCCTTCTGTAAAATCGAAAACTTGCTTCCTTGTTCAATTAATACAATATGGAAAGAAAGCAGTAGCCTTTTTATAGAGAATGATCAAGCTTTGAAAAATGTTCTGTCGATTTGAAACACATCAAGCAATCAACATATTCAATCGAAAACAAATATAAAGAGGAGCACGCCCAGACAAGAAGCAATAGAAAAGAAGAAGAAGAATTTTCATGAGGTATTTTAATGCATTTTCGATTTCCAGTGTATGTGATGTGTGTGTTTTATTTTGACATAAGCAAATAAAAAAGAAAACCTTCTCTTTCGATTGACGACATTTTCCGGCGACCGGAGTCTTTATTCACTAATATGAACGGTGGGAAGTTTCATTACGGTGAGACGAGTAACATACTTCGGAACCAAGACGATCTAGCGGTGGACCGTGACGGATCGGAGCAAGAAATCCCGAACTGTTTTCGGCTCTTTTGTGGCAATCTGAGCATTTTATAGAGAAACGACCACTGGATTTGGACTCAGGTGACCGAAACGAGTCACTCTGTAAAATTTAATAATGAACGGACACCGTCGACGATGACGATAGACCGATGAAGATCACCGGAACCTATGGCCGGCTGTGTAAAGAATGGAAAATTGACATTATGAAAACACGCGCAAAATGAATTGAGATGCAGAGATTTGGTTTTGTAGAAGATTTTTCTGGGTAAATTACACCCAAAGCCACTAATTTTTATATATTTCAACTTTCAGTCTACAAACTTTATCCTGAATTCAATCTAACCCCTAATTTATTTTTATGATTTGATCTAATATTTTTATTTAATTATTATTCTATTTTCACTAATAATTTTTTGGAAATTTTTATTTCGTTTATTTTATTACTTTTAAAGTGTTATTTTTTATATATTTTATTTTATTTTTCCCTTTTGATTTATTTTATATTTATTTATTATTTCTTATCTAACGTTTTTTATTTATTTTTTCAATCAAAAGTAATTATTTCGAATTGAATTTTTAAACTTTAATTTTTGCAATTAAGATAACTGATAAAGTAATTGGAACCGAAAGGGCGGTTCAAGGGTGCTAATCCTTCATTGACCGTAACCGACTCTCGAACCCGACACATTTCTGGTGAAACGCAGATCAGGTAAGATGGTGTCCGATCTACCTAAATATCATTTTTAAAGTGATCGGTGGCGACTCTAACCCAATCAATTCAAGTCGAAACCCAATTCCGGGGCCCAACCGAAAGACGGTTGCGACAGCTTGGCGACTCCGTTGGGGACAAGTAAGTGAGTCAGGCCGAAATTAATTTCCGGTTGTCTTAGCAAAAATTACAAGTTTAAATTTTAATTTATTTATTCGATTCTTATTATTTATCTTTGATTATTTTTTTCAAATAAATAGTTGTACTAACGTTTTTTAATGATTTCAGATATTTTTCAAAATTTGCATCTCTAGCTCTATACCCGAGCTCCGAACCTTTTTTAAGTGGGGGCGAAAGCGACGCCTTCGTGGGAATTTATTCTCCGTATGGGCCTAGCAAGTAACCTTCGGGATTCATATACCTTATGCCTTCGTGTGAATTTATTCTCCGTATGGGCATAAGGGAATGTGTCCTCTCGAGTTTAACTTAGTCCACACAAGCCTGTGATGGGTTTCAGACTAAGGGTCTGGTCGGTCCAAGGGGGCACCAGCAAGGAGAACTCGAGTACCGTTTTTAGAACCTAAACCTGGAGACTTTGAAGGAGTTAGAGCCCACCCCAAAACCTCATTTCAAACCCTAGGAGGCCGGAATTATTTCCTGCTT